AGTTTCAAGAGGACTCAGAAATGGAAAGGTAGTCCATGTTTATGGATTGGGAAAACTATCATTGTTAAAATGTCCATACTACCTGAAGCAATCTACAGATTCAATGCAGTCCCCATCAAAATAAATAGAAATAGGGAAAAAATAAAAAAATTCATATAGAACCACAAAAACCCCAGAATAGTCAAAGCAACCGTAAACAAGAAAACCAAGTAGAAGGCACCAGTATACTTGATGCCTTCAAGACAAGACATTCTACAATCACAGATAAAATAACACGGCACTGACATAAAAACAAACACATAGACCAAAGGAACAGATGAGGGAGCCCAGAAATCAATCCATGTGTTTACAGCTAATTGATTTTTCACAAAAGGAATTAAAGGAAGGATATTCTCTCTCTCTCTCTCTCTCTCTCTCTCTCTCTCTCTCTCTCTCTGGAAGGATAGTCTCTTTAATAAATGGTTTGTAGAAACTCAATATCCATATGGAGAAGGATAAAACAAGACCTTTATCTGTATTAGCTTGCCATTACTGAGATAAAACATCCCACAGACCCTCCTGCAGGGAGGAAGTTCATTAGGCTCCATCTCCAGTGAGCTTGGTCCATGGCTGGCTGGCCCCAAGGCAGGAGCAGCATGATAGAAGGACATGGCAGAGGAAAGCTGCCCAACCCAAGCACCCAGAGAGTACGGAGGGGAGAAGCCAGGGATAAAAACACAGTCTTCCAGGTCACACCCCTGCGGCCCATCCCCCTAGGCATCCTCTGTGTCTTGCACTGAGCCGCATTAATGAATTTCTTCATGAATTCTTCTTGTTTTGCTGAGTAAAATATCCCATCCCATACCCTACAGATATACTTCATTACTTTTTTTTTTAGTATAGAGTCTCTAGGGTCTCACTATGTAGATCGGACTCGTAGTGATTCTCCTGTTTTCAGCCTTCCAAGCGCCGGGATTACAGGCACACGCCACCAGGCCCAGTCTCATTCACTGTCTCAGCGCGCCCCGGGAGCAGAGCAGGCACGGCACGCCGAGGATGGAACCCCAGTCCCTGCATCTGCCTAAGCAGGCATTTTAATCCGCTGAGCTATCTGACCAGCCCTCTTCAATCCTGTTTAATGTGTACATTTTGTTCCTTTTTTCTAACTTGACTGGCTAGCACTCTGAGCACAGTGTAGGTGGAAGTGTTAGTGAAGGCACTGTCTAATTCTTGCATTTAATGTCTCAAGTGCTCTAGAGACTCCTAGAGAACACTTCTAGAGAGCACTAACCATGAATAAGGCAGAGGGCACTGGCTGCCCATAAGGTGGGCTTTTCTAGCTCGTTGGAAGGTGCGTCATTTGGCAATTCCTTTCTTACGTGGTGCCATTCTAGGTTAATTCATGGGTACAGCAACACTGTTCCTGCTGGTCTTCCAGCCCAGCTCTATGCCTGTACCAGCCTGTAGCATGAACTCCCTCCCTTGCAGATATTATGATCCCAACATCGGGCTCCAAGACTTGATCCCTTTCAGAAACCCCTGAGGCTCTCTGATTCTGTGTTCTCCCTTCTAGTTTCATTTTTGGTTTAGCATCAGGGAGTCTTCTTCACCTTCTTTTGAACTTGACTGCATGTTCAAGAATATGTGGTTATTGGTTTATGTAGACTATTTACTCTCTCTTTATGAAGGCACATTGCTAATAACTTGCAGAGTCCCATATTTAAACCTAAACTGCCTACTAAAGACCTACTCTCCAGGTGCATTGGGGACAGGCATTCAACATAAGAATACTGGGAGATGGGAACCCCCCCCCCCAGTTGGCAGCAATGCTGACTCTGACCATCCAACATGTGCTGCCCCAGGGAGGATGGTTCTATCTTTCTTATTCCAACTGATTTCTTCACTCATGGTGACTTGTGTTCCTGTGGGTTTCTCACTCCCTATGTGTGAGCTCATTGCTTGATTCCTGGGAGACAAAACTGAGGCACTAAAAGCTACAGCTGTTGCTGGATCACCTGCTGGGAGCCAGTGGGTACCCGCACCCATGATGTTCTCTGGCCCTCACTGCGGTCCCAGAGCACTTATCCTTAAACAGGAGCTGCAGCCTCAGTTTCCACAGTTCCATGTGTCCACACAGGGTCACCAGCACAGGACTCTGGCCACTGAGCACTGTCATAAGGCTGGCTCCCCACCATGCTGGGCCCATCATGTCTCCTAGTCCAGCACCAAGGGCTCAGAACACCTGGGTGGTCACGATAGTGAAGCACAGGCATAACCTCGTTATATCCAGAATATATGAAAGCTGGGGCAGGGCACGGAGACAGAACTTCATGCTCTGCAGAGATACAACTGGGCAGCACCCAGTTCTCTCTGGTGCAACTGAGCCTCAGGGCCTGGTTTGCAGGTGAGGCAGGCTTAGCAGATGGCTTTCCTGGCCAGTTCCAAGATTTACTCCTTGCTTAGAATTCACATCATTTGAAACCATTGGCCTCCAGGGTAACTGCTGTCTTCTCACCTTGGGCAGGCTGTCCAGGGCACAGGCCTGGCCTTCATCATCTATACCGAGGCCATAAAGAACATGGAGGTGTCACAGCTGTGGTCGGTGCTCTACTTCTTCATGCTTTTGACGCTGGGTGTGGGGAGCATGCTGGGCAACACAGCAGCCATCCTCACCCCTCTGACTGACAGCAAGGTCATTTCCAGCTACCTGCCCAAGGAGGTCATCTCAGGTACGGTCCATATCAGAACTCTGTCTGCCACTCCCAGGCTGTGGGCCAGGGCGGAGCTGCAGGACATCTCTGAGCCTTGGCTGCTCACCATGAAAGGCTCCTGTTGTTCTCTGTCTGAGGCTTAAAGATGCCATGACCACCAGTGTCTGGCACTCAGCAGGAGCTGAGGCAACCCCAGGCCTCCCCCATGGGGCTCCTGCCTCTCTCCACCTCTCTCAAAACTCCTGCCTGGCCCAACCCACATGCCCGCCTCTTCCTTGCTTCTCAAGCACTTGAACTGTGGAGTCCCCAGCACACCAGACCCACAGCTCGGGTGATACTCCTGAGAATGTGCTACTCGCCATTTCTGCTTCCCACTAAACCCAATGTCCCTGACAGAGTGGGTCCTCCAACCCAGGTGGCCAAAGCCACCTAGGAGCTTGAGTCCCCTCAGGGCCCGGGCCCCGCTGCCCTTGAGACAGTGGGAGCGGGCAAGGCGCCTCAGGCAGACCTCTTGTGCCCAGGTCTGCTGTGCTTCGTCAACTGTGCCATCAGCCTGCTATTCACCATAGAAGCTGGGAGCTACTGGTTCGACATCTTCAATGACTATGTGGCCACACTGTCCCTGCTGCTCATCGTACTGGTAGAGACAGTCGCCGTGTGTTACGTGTACGGGCTGAGGAGGTGAGGGGGCCCAGGCCTGCTGGCTCCATGGGGAGAGGAGCCCTGGGGACCCCACAGCCACCACTGCCACCCTGGCTCAGGTCCCAAATAGCTTTCCTTTTAAAAGGCTGTGCTTTGCCCTCAATTTTCTTTTTTCCTCAGAAGTCTCACCTGCTTCTCTGCCTTGCTTGTGCTCTCAGTTGGGCTTTAACCAACAGCCTCTTTCTTGTCTCTCTGTGTGTAAGAGGAAGTTCCCAGATGGCCCTGCTGCACCCTGCAGCTCCCTGGGAAGAGAACCCAGCCTCCCAACACTCAAGTCTCTGATCATTGGCCAACATCAGTGTTTCCTGAGGACCCTGATGGGTCTACTTGAGAACTCACATCCCAGAGAGTCAGGCACATTCCACTGAGGTCGGGTTCTCACCCCGGGTGCCCAGCAGCCCTGGGAAGTTTTCAGTCTCCCCAGGTGACGCAATGCACAGCTGGGGCCATACTGTTGATACAGAGCAGCTTTCAAAGTTGTTTTCCTGTTTTGTTTTTTGTGGTCCTGGGGATTTGAGCCAGGGCTTTTCACACAGAGCAGGGTCTCTCTCACCATGACAAGGAGCCCCTAGTCCCTTGAGCTTGCCCCTGGGGACAGCGCCATCTGGTGGCCCTCCAGCAACAATGACCTGCTGCCTGGCACCTTTCTATACCTATACCTAGCACTGCACAGGGTCGAAGGTATAAGACCCACCTTGCCTGACCTATGTCACTCTGTCTCAGGTTTGCATGTCACACACAGGGGCCTTGGTAGCCTGGGCCCCAGGCCAAGGTCAGTCAGCACTGCTTTGGAGAGCTTTCCATGGAAGCCACACAGACTGGTGCAAAAGGCCACAGCTATTGTGACAGGGACACCTTGCCCCATCTCATCCCCTCTTACCAGGAGAGCAGTTTTCAATACCTAAGCTGCACACCGGGCTCAGCCACTGCCCCAAACCCAGTGTTCCCCAGACACAGAGGGGTCCTGACCCCGGTGTTTCTAAAGGGCAGTACAGATACCCACAAACAGCATGGAGGGCAGGAAGGCAAAGCCGCCCAAGGTCCTGTCCTGGGTACAGACTGACCCACATCTTTTGTGCCCTGCCCCCACCACACCTCTCTCTAGTTCCCACCACTAGCTAGCTTCCTCTGAAGGCCAGCAGCAGGGACATGTGTTCTTTCCTGGTGTGGGCTCACCCTGCAGCCACTCTGGCAACAGCACCAACCTGGGCTCCCTCCCTCCCTTCCTCCCTCCCATGGCACAGATTTGGAGCCGAACTCGAAGCCATGACTGGCTGTGCCCTCAACTGGTACTGGAAGGCCTTGTGGGCGTTCGTGAGCCCACTGCTCATCGTGGGCCTCTTCTTCTTCTACCTGACTGACTACATCCTCTCAGGGACCCTGCAGTACCAAGCCTGGGACGCCACCCAGGTACCTGTCTCTATACAGAGCTGGGTCTGGCAGGGCCTTGGGTTCTCTGAGCTGCACTGTGGTGGGGAGGTCAAGGTACTGAGACCCTGTGACACTGACAGGTTTGGCCCAGGCTGCAGAGCCGGTTAAATGTGTGCCATGCTGTTACCCAGAGGGTCTGCCTGTGGTCAAGAATCAAGGGCTTCTCAGGCTCCAGGCTGCTTGGGCCCAGAGAGAGGCTATAATAGAGGTCATCCCTCCTGGGAGCTCCAGGCACTGGTAGGACCAGAGCCCAGCAGGGGCTCCATCCGGTCAGATGACTGCATCACTTGCCTGCCTGCTAATAAGAGAGAGAGAAAAAGTCGCTTCTTCCCAAATTGGCCACTGTGGAAGGCAGCTCCTGGCCTCTTCCACACAGGGATAGCAGGGTACCCAGGAAATATGCGTAGGAAGCTGGGAAGAGGGTAAAATCCTGCTTTTGTCAAAACCCTGTGGCAGGGCTGGAAGGTGCCCATTTCTGCGTTCCAGCAGATATTTGCCTATAGGAGAACTGAGCTCTCAAATCACCATTGTGAGGCCCCCCATCAAGTATCCCATCTTATCCTTTCTCTCAGTCTCTAGGGTTTGGAGCCTGTGCCATTCTGCTGTCTGTTTAGAGCTGAGGGCTGTCTCAAAACTAAAAACTAAAAAAGGCCTGGGACTTAGCTCATTAGTAGAACATCTGCCCAGCACCCAGAAGCACACAGTCGCCAGCAGTGCAATTAACTAATTACAAGTTCATTTTGAATTCAAGATAAAGCAAGATTGCCCTCAGTGACTACAGGGGCAGAACATCTCTACAATGGCTACAAGCAGCGCATAAGGTGTCATTAATAGAGAGGAGCTTAGAGAATCAGGAAAACAACCTGGCTACTTTTACAGCATTAAGACAATATCCATAACTGATGGCATTCTATCAGGACCAGCAGGCTTTTTAAAAAAATTACAAAATTGGTATCAGGAAAACACTATAACACATTACAAAGTGCAGCACTCCTCCCACAGTGTTCATCTAACCAGAGATATAAATCAGACTTAATTTAAAAGACCTCAACAGCACGCCTAAATAAATCCTAACTCTCTTAGCATTTCATTTCCGGGGGCTGGCCAAATAGCTCAGTGGATTAAAGTACCTGCAAGCAGGCATAGCGGCCAGGATTCAATCGCTGGGCCTGCTGCCCCGGCCCCATCCCTGGGGCACGCTGAGGAGGCAATTGAGACTGGGCGTGGTGGCGTGCATCTGTAATCACAGCTCTTGGGAGGCTGTAAACAGGCGGATCACTACGAGTCCGATCTAGTAGTGAGACCCTGAACACCCTGTAGACCCTTCCCTAAAAAATATAATAAATAAATAAATTAAATAAATAAAAATTAAAAAACAAAATAAAAAGATTTCATTTCCCTATAAGCAATCAAAACCCTAACAAGAGCAAAAAGCACAAGATATTATTTTGATATACAAAAACCTTTGTTCTTTGGGCCATTTCTTTTGTAAATTATATTAAGAACAGATCAATATTTGAAGAAAGCCTTGTTTTTGTTACATTTTTATTACAGGGTCTCGTTACATCGTCCAAATTCGTAGTGATGCAGTGATCCTCCTGTCTCAGCCTCCCAAGCTCTGGGATTACAGGTGTGCACCAGTAGCCAGGTTTTGAGCCAGCATGGCATGCAGTACCACGGATCGAACTTGGATCCTTGCACTTGCCAGGCAGATGCTTAAACTACTGAGCTAGCTCCCCAGCCCAAAAGCCTTATTTTAAACTTAACAATCTAGCCAGGTGGGGTGACACACCTATAATCCCAACATTCAAGAAGCTGAGTCAGGAGTATCTGTGAGTTTGAGGCCAACCTGGGATACAAAGTAAATTCAAGGCCAACATGAACTGTCTGTGAAACCTTATCTCAAAAAGACCAATAATAATAATAATAATAATAATAATAATAATAATAATTTTTAAAACCCATGACAGATTAAATTCTGGTATTACATGTGCATATTAAATTTGATTTTAGGAAACTCTGAAAATAATCTCTTTTCAGTTATAGCCAACTTAACTACACATCAGTTTCCTCTCATAACACTAATCCTTTAAAACCTTCTGCAATTGGTTCAGATATCTGCAACTCATTTAGATCTTTAACTCTGTTCCTATTCTTTCTTTTTTTCTACTTGAGAACAATCCAGATATCTTATTTTAGGATGGAATATTATTTTATCATATGAAATACTTTCTCATCTAAAAGCATTTTTTAGAATAGACTTCTTTAAACAGAATATATCCAAATGTCTTACCCAAAAGATACATACATTGAAAGTACTGTTAGGATAGGTGATCAACTCCCAAAACATAACTGTTAGATGATCATAAAATGATGCTATCTCAGAAATCAGAAATTACATACCTGTTACCAATACATTTTAGATCATCTGTTATTTTAGGACTGGGATAAGGAAAGAAAAATAATTAAATCTCTTAGGTTTAAGAGGTCCAATAATATTTTTAAATAACACCTGATTATAAACCTCAAGAACTCAGTCCATATCTGTTTGTAGATTCTCAAATATTGATCAGCTGAGATTTATAAGCTTATATTTATTCTCCAGAAAACTGAATGTCACCTCTAGATGTAAGAACTACACACACATTAAAAACAATATATATGGGGAGTAGAAAGCCCAGTATTTTTTTTTTAATCTGGAGAAGTCTTGCTACAAAAAAATAAAGTGATTCTTTCCTTGAAATTTCATTTTTAAGCATCAGATCTATCAAGCACCAGAGGGAAAACCAGCAATAGCTCACCTGTTGCTGGGCAGCATGGCAGTTATCCACTCTTATCTTAAAGAATCAATATTAATTGGCCTTCATGGCAAAACAAAAGATGTTTTCCAAAAATAGACTATTATCTGAACTATATGGTAGCTAAGTTTTTAAAACTTAAACTTAATGAGTTCTTACGTATACATTACTAATTTTAAGATGAAAAACAAATACAACCCCTGATCATCTTAAAATGTAATGTTCAAAGTGTAGTGCCTCCACTAATTGTTGGCTTAGTGCTTTAAAGCTTCATTTCTAGATATTTATTGTTTCTCTAGAGCTATTCCTCACAAACTCATTAAAAGATCACTTTTTTTTGAAACCGGGGATTGAACTCAAGCCCTTGTGCTTGCCAGGGAAACGCTTACTCTACTGAGCTATCTCCCCGGCCCCACCCATGAGATTTGAGATTTCAGGCAAGCACAGTGAAAACTTCAAGTTACTTCTTTTCTCAAAGGAAAAACCATAAAAGTTGCTACGCCTGAGACATCCGAACACTAGATACAACACCTTGAACAACTAAAATAGAACACTGATTGACCAGAAATCCAGGCAAAACATACACTCCCAGTCCTAAAAACACCTTCGTTCTGTCTCAGCATCGCATGGCGATGAACGCATTTGTCAGAAATCCGCCTGTTTAACATTTCAGCCCTACTAGGGAGGCCAAGGTGATGCCTGGTTACCAGCTTATAAAGTCTCCGTCTCATCTCCTCACACACCTGCTTTCCTGGGAGCTTGAGCTCTCTTCTTTACGCGCTAGCACCACAGCCACAAAACATGGCACCAGAATTCCAAGCTCCCTGCCAACAACCCCAGCTGGCCCTCAGCTTGGTTCACCAGCAGACAGAAAAGGCAAAGAAAAGAAACGATGAGACCTGCTGTATCCTCCTGCCGAGCACACGGGGCTCCAACCTGGCCCTGCATCTGCGTAAACATCGCCATTTTCCATTCTCACCAGGAGCCGCAAGCGCAGGGTGCGCAGGCTCCAGGGAAGCAGCCCCGGGAGTCCTCTGGACGTGCAGGGGGCTGAAGGTCCCCAACAAAGCCCCTGGGAGTGTCCCATCCAAACGACGCCACGAGAGGGCGCTATCCCCCAAATTGTTTTCCCTGGGGACCCCAGGCCCAGGTTAACTTGCGGTCCCAACACACTGGGTTCGTCTCCAGGATTAAAAAAGCGATGAGAAGATAACCTGGGTCTCTTCACAAAGCGGCGGGCCGCGGGGGCCGGCCCGTCCCGGCGCAGGCTGAGGGCGGCCGGGAGCCGGAGTGCGCCTGCGCCGGCCGGCTGGAACGCGGCTTCCGGCAGCTGCCTCGCCGGCCCGGGAGGCCGCCCCGCTTCCCGCCCGCCCCCCACCTCGTGGCTGCCGAGGCCTGGCCACGCTCCGCAAGGAGAGGTGGGAAGGCCCCTCCCCTGACGCCCGTGTCCCCTCCAGGGCCGGCTGGTGACCAAGGACTACCCCACCTACGTCCTGGCAGTCATCGGCCTGCTCGTGGCCTCCTCCATCATATGCATCCCGCTGACGGCCCTGGGGACTTTCGTCATGCGGCGCCTGCGGAGGGGCGGCTCGGCCTCTGTGGCCTGAGACCTGAGCCGCGGAGACTGCGCCCCACCGGAAGTGACGAGCACCCAAACCGGAAGTCCTCCTTCCGCCCCAGAAGGTGCGAGGGCAGCGCGCTTCGAGAGGACTCTGGCCAGCCCCAGGAGACAGCCCCTCCCCTTGCTAGCAGCCCAGGTCGAGCCTTGCAGCCTCCCCAAATCGGCTTCCTCAGGGCGCACCTGAGGAAGGTGGCTTCCAGACTCTACAGAGTCCTCTGACCGAGGCGCCGATGACACGGTACTTCTGAGATCAAATTTAGGCAGTTTAGGGTTGAGGCTGAAGAAGCACCAAAATAGTAGATAATAATCAGTTTTAGTTCAGTTGAAGGAATTTTGAAGTGCCTGAGGTGACAGATTTGAACACTTAGTTTGAATTCTTTTTTTAGGCATAATGAATTTACACAATTTCAGGGTTCCCTTGCACGTTTCACGTTCACACGACTGACCTGGCCATGAGTGAGACCTTTGTTGGGGACTCACACACCTCACCTTTGTCTGACCTAGGGTCTCTGGAGTGCTCAGGACCACCCGTTTACAGATTTACCCCAGGACTGCTCCCAAGCCCCACCTGAGGAGTCTGCAGAGTCACCCATCTGTGACCTCTCAGCACCCTGCAGAGGTTGTCAGACCCCACCATGAGGGCGAGAGTGTTCAGCTTCCCAGGGACTTAGTGTTGTATTTGGACATCATTGCTAACTCTAGACCACCCCAGCGTCATAATCAGCCTACATTATTTATCTGTACATAAGAAAAAATTCTAATGTATATAATTAAAACAGAGCATCTTATAACTGAAAACACCTTATTTATGATTCTGCCATGTGAATTTGTCTTCCTTTTTTATATATATATTTTTATTTATTTGTGTGTGTGTGTGTGTGTGACCAGCTCAGCCCACCAGGGGGCGGGGCTGGCTGGCGTGTGGTGCTGGGGGATTGAACCGTGGTCCCTGTGCTTTGCCAAGCTTGTTCCAAGTAGGTGCTTTAGACCACTGAGCCATCTCACCAGCCCCTTGTCTTCCTTTTTTGTCACTGCAGTAAGTACATCAGTGTCACCCTGGGGTGAGAGGGCCTTTCCAACTCCAACATACCCTGCTTTGTTGAGATTATGGATTTCAGGAGTGTCTAGCAAGTGCAAGGAACAGGTTCTATCCCCAGTTCCACATGCTGTGCCATTGTGCCAGTCACCAAAGCCAGATGTGGTGGCGCACACCTGTAATCCCAGTTCTGGAGAGCTGGGACAGGAGGATCACTACAAGCCCAACCTACATAATGAGACCCTGTACCAAATAAATACATAAAAGACTTTTTAAATTTTAAATAAAAAAGAGACTCCATTTTCTTTTGTAACTCCAGTTTAAAAGTCACTTAGGTTCACTTAAACTGTAGATAAAGTCACTTCTTCACCCCGTCCCATGCAGCTAACCATGAACTCATTAAGAGCAAAACAAGGTCATAAAGATAAGAACAGATAGTTGAAACAAATTGGTAAAAGATGAAAGATTTATATGATCTGAAGAGAAACCAGAGTATAGTTAAAACAAATTGGGAAGTGGGGTAAATTTCCCATGACCAGCAGATGGTCAACAGCATCTGGAAAATGTAAACCTCTGGACAATTATGTGACATTCTTGTAAAATTCCTGAGAATGAGATAATATGGTGATGTGGTTAACACAGAAACTTGAAAAGTGTATAATGTGGATATAAAGACTAACCAGTGCTGACATGTGGCTTTCTTGATTCAGCCACCAGCTTTTAATAAATCTTCTTTCTTCCTATGCTTTTGGTTTCCCGTGTTTCTCTCACTGCCCTAGTATATTCTAAAGGCTTCCTCAGGGTGGCCTCATGAGGAAGACCCTCATTTGAGAGGTCCTTGTTGGCTGCTGTTAGGCTGGAAAGGCACCCCTACTGATTTCAGCTGGCCACTGGGAGCGACTGTGAGGCAAGACACTGTCTCTGCAAAGTGGGACAGCCAAGCTCTGCTCTCTGACCTAGGTAAGATTTAAAATTTGATTTCTTATTTGCTTTTGGGTTTAATTAGAAACTTGGTTTTTTTTCCAGGCTGGAAATTTGATGCGCCCAGGCTCCCAGTCATGGCAGCCATTTCGTCTTGGCATGTTCAAGAGTTTGGTCAGTTTGTCTCTGAATTTGTTTTCAGTTTAGTCAGTTCTAGACTCTAAATTTATTTTTTCTTTTCAAATTGATGGTTGGGAGCAGTCAATAATCCCTGAGACTATTTTGTCTGTCTGTATGTGTCATGTTTTCCCAAATGTGCCCATGATGTCAGGGCGCCATAGCCTGGGGCTTTTGGTTAGATTGTCAGCTGAGTGGGGGGACAGACCTTCACAATAAACTATTCTCTGTTCTAAACTGAGCCATCATGGGCACTGTGGACAGTAAGCCAACCCTAACATGGTTTATGCATGATTTAGAATATTGACAAATTTAAGGACCAGTCAGATAGCTTAGCAGATTAAAGTGCCTGCTTAGTCAATGCCCCAGCATGCCATGCCAGCCCCACCCCTGGTGGCGAATGAGACTGGGCATGGTGGCATGCTTCTGTAATCCCAGCACTTGGGAAGCTGAAAACAGGAGAATCACTAGGAGTCCAGTCTGTGTAGTAAGACCTTGTAGACCCTGTCCTAAATACATTTTTACAAAATTGTATATACAAACTTAAAGGTGACTATGGGACAAGGATAAAGGTCTGGAAGTGCCATACCTTATGTGAATTAAAAAGGCCCTCTTCTGATATGGGCCGGTCACCAGAGGGGATGATCAATTCTCACGTAGCCAGCAGGGTCTGGGATGTTGTTACCAGGTTCTCTTGTGGAGAGTCCTTGCTGTACGTGGTTCAGGCATTACCCTAATGTCTTAGGATGTATGCTTGTAGAATTCCTGATTGAGTAATGATGATAGAAGAGAAGCCATCGAGGCAGAAGCCCCGTGTATTGCCCTTAGCATCCAAGGAGGATGACCTCACCCTCAGTCTTCCCGCTTCACTACTGCCCTAGCCTGGCTCTTCCAGTAGCCCGCGTGCATCACGAGCCTTCCCTCACATGCCTCTGCCAGCGATTGCTTCTCTGCACCACCACTGAGTGAGGGGCGCTGCCATGGCACTGATCCTGCAGCTCCACATCCCTCTTGTCACCACAGTCTACGGTACGCTCCCCAGATGAGGGAGCCTCTCCCTCAGCCCTGGTCCCTGTCCTGCCCCTCTGGTAGGCTGCCCTAGTGGGACTGGGAGGGAACCCTCGGTCTACCTTGGTGTATGTTCCTTTTAGCACTAGTGATTTACAGAACTGGATAATCCAGAATCCCCCGCCCCTTTCAGAACAGCCTTGGGCTGGGATTACTTTACTGAAGTCAGTATTTAAAACTCAGCAGCCCACTTGGGATGACTGTCGGCAGAAAATGCTAACACTGTTTTCTTCAGAAGAAAGGGAGAGAGCTTTAAAGGCAGGTGAGGAACTAATAAGATCAGATGCCAGGAGAAGCGAACAGGGCAAGGCAGCAGCAGTGGCTCAGGTTCTGCCCCGGGACTCCCCTGCCAGGGATCATAACACTGAGGAAAAGCTAAATTCTTTAAAGTACTGTCAGGCATTCAGGAAAGGTTTAATTATTGCTGCTCACTGCCCAACTCATTTGAACAAAGTGACAGAGGGGAACCAGGGAGCAACGGAGAGCACCCACTGCATGCCTCAAGCATGTCATGGAGACTTACTGAGTGGACACCCTGCTCGACCATGAGGGACCCAAGAATTCCCACATGGTTGTTTTTTCCAGACACTTATGCCACTGAGCCATCTCCCTGGCTCTTGCCCACATTGTTACCGTGGCTTTTGTTGCTCAGTCAGCTCCCAATATGCGCCACAAGCTACAGACATTGGAAGGGTTTGCAGGAATCAATCTACCCCAGTTGGTTGAAATTGCCCAGAAGGTGCTCTGTAATAGAGAGGATGCAAAGTGGAAACTCAGGCATCAAAAGAGAAAGGTGATGCTGGCTGCTCACAAGAAGGGACCTGGGAGCTGAAGGGGAGCTGGGCAAACAGGGAGGAGGCTGCACCCCAAGTCCCAGACTCGGGTGCATGTTGCAGGAAGGAACATTTCAAAGCAGCATGTCCAACACTTCTAGAGAAGGAAAAAAGAGTTTATGATGAAGTCAGAAAAAGTTTCAGAATGGTGGGGTCATGGGTCTCTCTCTCAGACCTAAGAAACCCACGTTAACCACTAATGTAGGAAAGAAAAAAAAAAAAAACCTGCTAGATTTTTGGTGTGCATACTGGTGTGGATTTATCTGTAGTTACTCAGCCAATAGTTCCTTTCATAGGGCAGAAAGTACATGTTCAAGAGGCAACTGGCCAATCTTCAACCTATTCTTTTTGCGAGCGTTAACAGACTCAGCTTGGGTGACAAGCAGTTAGCTATTATTCTGACTGTCCTTCCCCCTCCTGGGCCGAGATCTTCTTCAAAAGCTGCAGGCTCAAATTTCTTTCACTCCTCAGGAAACTATTTTAACCATGAGGAAAGAATCCTCCCTAGAGGCTCATGTTTTGGCTATTACTGATGTGAGGAGGAATGCAGGAGGAATATTGCTCCTACAGCCCAATACGAGAGAACCATCTGTTCTGTCCTCTTGGATTCAGCTTTTCCCCAAGGTTTGGGCAGAAGACATTCCCCCTGATTTGGTGTCTCACAAGACACCACTGATAACAGAATTGGTGGGACATGCAAAGCTGGTTCACCCAAGACCGTATCTAAAGGCTTATGGAATCCAGGAGAGAAATGAAGGCCCACATTCAGAGGCTGCTTCAAACAGGTACAATAAAAGAGCGTCAGCCCCCTGGAATATTCCCTTCTCGCTGTTCTGTAACCTGGGACCAATGAGTACCATCTGTTCAAGACTTGAGAGCCATCAATGCTGCGGTTGCTACCCTTCACCCCACTGTACTCTGCTCAGTTTGCTTTCACATACTGGGGCCTGGTATACTGTGTTAGACTTGAAGGGTGCTTTCTAGGACACAATACTATGCACTCCTTGGGGATTAGCTCTGACATCCTGATGAGCTATATTCACAATTGGCAGATTTACTTTTCAAAAGGCAAGGGCAGGTCTGGGGAGACGGCTCAGTGGTCTAAGCGCCTGCCTGGCAAACACAAGGACCCAGGTTTGATCCCCGGTACAGTATGCTGTGCCAGCCTTGGAAGGGCATGCTGCACCAGCCAATGAAACCAGATGTGGTGGCACATACCTGTAATCCCAGTCCTGGGGAGGCTGAGATAGGAGGATCACTATGAGTCCAAGCTGTGCTGTGAGACCCTGTCCCAAACAAATAAATCAATCATTTTTTCTTTAAGTTTAAAAAAAGAAAAAGGGCGAGGCAACTATTCCAGAGGATGGGACTCCTATGTAGCCCTTCTTACGTATCTTTGAAGGCCCTAAGAAACCCTTTACTCAGATTACAAGATACCATTCACAGACAGGTTTCAAACGTATGATCTAGGGCCACTGCAGAGGACACAAAGCCCTACAATACTAGTCATGTTTTAACTGCTTCAATTACAAAAACAAAACAAGAATTGATAGAGATACTACAAAGTGGCTCTGAGCAAGATTTATATTAAGCAATTGGCTTTTCACGTCCAGTGGCAAGTCTACCCAAGAATGAGTAAAGCCATGGTACCTCAGAGGATGAGACAGGGCTGATATAAACAATTGTTTAATTGAAATTCCTGGTTAACTTCCTCAGTTACCAGCCTGACTGGCCCCATTCTGGTAGTAATTGTCCTTCTAACTTTTGGGCCACACCTCATTCAAAAGGTAAGAAACAGGTT